CTCCTGTCCCAGTTCTGACGACTTAACCCAGACCCTATGCCCAACCTGAAATGTAGAAGGCCGGCGGCGTCTATTTTCAGACTCTATCATTGCAGCCTGCGCCTTCTGCATCTGTTCTACAGCCTGCTGCATCTTCTGTTCATAGCGGTAAGCAAATTCCAAGGTACCTGGTGCAGCAGTGGTTTGATTCTCAGGAAGAAGAAAGTCTAGGGGTAGTCTAGGCTTGAGTGTTAGCAGTAAGCTGTTTGGGCTCACCCCGGTGGCGCTGTGTACAGCGTTGTTGTACAAGCTGGCGATGAGAGCAAGCTTCTCATCAGTCCACCTGGTTGGGCTTGATGTAATGCCTCAACAGGTGTTGCACAACGCGGTTCAGTTGCTCAGCCTGACCGTTGGCCTCTGGGTGATTCCCAAAAGTCATCTGCAACTGAGTTCCCTGTTCTGCAACAGCGGCCTTCCACAACTCACTGGTGAACCGGACATCTCTGTCACTAACAATAGACTTCGGTAGACCAAAGTCCCTGACCCAGTTCTCTTTAAATATTCTAATCACGTACTCCGTCTTTGCTGTTTCCGGCATGGCTATTAACCTAGCATACTTACTAAATCTATCCACGATGACAAAGATGTGACGCATCCCACTCTTGCTGGTGATTAGAGTATCCATGAAATCCATGGACAGACTCTCACCAGGCCGTTCCGGAATCGGAAGGGGCTTCAGAAGCCCAAGAGGGGCCTGAGTATGTGGCTTGTCCCGTTGACAAACTTGACAAGTCTCCACATACAGCTGGGCATCCCGCATCATCGTGGGCCACCAGAACCGCTGCAGCAGGTTGGCTGCAGTCTTTTTATACCCAAAATGGCCAGTGGCATCATGACACTCGCCTAAAAACAAACTACGCAAAGACTCGCTACTTGGGACACACAATCGCTTATTCCCGTCCTTCTCAAGGAACAGCAAGCCATTGACCAACTCAAACTCAGCAGAGGTCTTCTTGTCCTTTGCCTGGAGTCTGCGTATGTTCTCAGACATGAACTGATCCTCGCGATAGGCATCCACCAAAGAGTGAGTAACATCGTCTGTGAGATCAAACTCAGTAATCAGCGCACCTGAAAAGTCGGGTCTACGCGACAAGGCATCAGCCACCTTATTGTACTCCCCTTTGAGATAATGGAGGTCGAAGTCATATTGCTCAATGACTTCGATCCAACGCTTCAGAGCGTCAGATAGTACGGGCTGAGGTCTCATCCATCTCAGGGTCTGATGATCAGTCCTGAGGATGAAGAATCTCCCAAGGAGATAGTGTCTCCCAGTGTCTCCAATGGGTAAGAGCCTTGTACACTGAGTAGAGTTCCTTCTCGTAGGTGGACTTTGCCAACTTCTGAGATGGCATCTTTTTCGACATGTACTCGACTGGCCTCAACTTTGGCCCCTCCTGCTGCGCGAGCACGGCGCTAATGCCATATTGGATGGCATCCGTGGTGACTATAAACGGTTTGTCAGGATCAGGAAGTTTCAAGACCTCGTAGTGCGTCAACGCATGCTTTAGATGTCTGAAAGCAGCCTCGCACTCATCTGTCCACTCCCACGGGGTGTCAAGGCGGGTCAGATCAGTCAAAGGAGCGGCCACTATGCTATAGTTCTTTACAAAAGTTCTGTAGTAGCCTGTCATTCCTAAGAAAGATCTCATCTCTGTCACAGACTGAGGACGTGGCCAATCACGAATGCTGGCCACCTTCGCATCATCGGGCTTCAAACCTTCCGCGGAGATCTCATGACCCAAGTACAAGACACGGGTGCGGCCAAACTCGCACTTCTCACCGTTGATCTTGAACTTGTGTTGTCGCAAAAGACTAAGGACTTTGTCCAGATGTGCAACATGCTCCTCAACAGTCTTACTAAAAATAAGTATGTCATCGAGGTACACGATGACAAACTTATCCAAGTAGTCATGGAATATCCGATTGCAAAGGCCGAAAGGCATCACCACAAACTCGTACAGACCGTACCTGGTCTGAAAGGCGGTTTTGTGTTGATCCTCGGGCCGGATTGCAATCTGATTGTACCCGGACTTCAGATCTATTTTACAGAAGTACCGACACCCTTGCACTCTGTCTAGCTAATCGATGCGCAGTAGGGGCTCTCTGTTCTTTACAGTGATGGCATTGAGGACCCTATAGTCAATGCACATCCTAAGAGTACCCTCCTTCTTCTTAGGCACGAATAGAACTGGAGACCCATAAGGAGAGACACTCGGCCGGATCCAACCCTTCTCTACGAGTTCCTTGAGTTGGCGGCAAAGCTCATCAAGCTCGCCTGGAGACATCCGATAGATCCTACCCTTCGGAATACTAGACCCTGGATAATCTCTATTGCGTGGACGACCTCCCTCTCAACAACCCCTGTTGGCTCTTCAAATAGATCAGGGTACTTAGCAACTACTCCCTCTATCTCCGGCGGCATTTTCACCGGCTCGCCTACAGCAGAGACATAGACTAAATACATACCCTCCTCCTGATTTTGCTTATAATAATTGTAGAACGCGGCCGCACACATGCACCCATAGGACTCAATCAGACTACTAGCTTTGAACTTATGTAATCTGGCCGTCCCTCCACCTGGCAAGTTGTGTTTGACCACTTTTCGGTCCCAGTCAAACTGGGGCTGTGCTACAGAGAGGTAGTACATACCTAGTAACATGTCCATTGGGAGCTCGTCACTCACTAGGAACAAGACACGATGTCTCAAGTCCCCTCCCGCGTACGGGAAACAACACTACATCTTGGAGGTAGTCATTGACTACCATGCGCTGTTTGTTGGCACAAGTCAACTCAGGCGTTGCACTCACCCCTGTAAACGCAGTCGTTCAACGCACTCGCGACTAATAAAGTTCCTAGTCGAGCAAGTGTCATATAAGGCCCCGGCCTTGCGGCCGCCAATGACAACCTCGCTGATGAACATCTCACCCTTCGGGGCTTTGACTAGTGTCGTCCAAGAAGCTAGTGGGTCTGATCTAGACCACTCTACTTCTAACTCCTCTAAGGACTCAAACACATTCATCGAACAGAGGCTCGATGAGTCTGAATGTGTTTGCGGGACGACGCTGGAGTCAATAGCTTGGGCCATCTCTCGAGATGGTGAGGGTGTCTCCACCACCTCGACCCTAGCAGGAACGGCTACTATTCCTACTGGCCCGACGTGTTTCCTGGAGCACTGCCAGAAGTACTAGCAACATTGCTACCAACGGGATGAGAGGATCCCAGCACTTGCCCCATCGTAGGCGGGATCTTTTCTGTCACTTTCTTGTTGCGGCACTTGAATTGGCTGTGGCCATATTGACCACAGCGAATACAGACATGCCGTGAGTAATGGTCTCTCCACACGTCCTTTGTAAGACCCGCTTTCTCCCATGGAGGAGCATTGAGGTCAACTTGACTCCTAGACCGAGAGCCTCCGCGGCATCTACCGGTCGCCTTACCTTTTTGAGAAACGGCAGCGACTACTCCACCCTCTGAAGCTTCTACACGCTGCCCGCCTCTAAACCTACTCCCTCCTGGAAGTTGTCGTCCAACTCGATGGTTGAACCATCGTTGTCGACAAACATGATGCGACCCTTCGCCTTCCAGTTGGGAGGCAGTGTCTTTTTTCTCCCATCCGTAGTGGGTGTTTGTCCATGCCCTATCTTTGCCTCAAGGTCTAGGGCCACCTTGCTAAATGTGCATGTTGATATTGGCCTCTTTTGCCAACTGGTTCCTGAGAGGCTGTGAAAAACATCTCAAGTACGAAGTCAGTAGGACCTGGGGGTCATAGCGCACCCTTGGGACACAGAGCAGATGCTCAACAGCGTCGGTGGCTTCCCTTACTGACTGAAACTGCCGCGTGTGCAGTGTCAGGATCGCATCAGTGGCCCTTGGGCCTCCTGAGGATCATGCCACCTCTCTTCCACCATCTTCAGGAAGTCCTCCAATTTCTGGGAGGCTGCCCAAGCGCGGAAGTCATGACCATACCCCTAGAGTTGTATTAAGCCACTCAACCATCTTGTTGCACTACCCTCTAGGTAGGAAGCAGCCACAAGCACTTCTTCGTGCGGCAAGGTGAGTTTACACCTGACGTAGACCGGCACTGCCCTCAACCATGTGTCAAGGTCTTCGCCTCTCTTGTCACCTGTAAAAGGTTTGGGAGCGGCGATGGTCGTTTTTGGAACCCACTGTGTTTGTCCCGGTCCCTACATCATTCCGGGTTGTGGACCCGGTGGCACAGGTTGTTGTGCTAGCTGCTGGGGCTGAGTACCCTGAGGCTGCACAGGCTGCGAGACAGCAGGTTGCGCGGTGACCGCAACCTGCGACGGACTTGGAGTGAACACTGTCTGTACAGGAACCTGTAAACTACCCCCAGCTGTTACCCCTCCTGACAGCGGCATGCCCAGGGAAACGATAGCAACCGATGAAGGGGCTACATATGGGGATACCCCTGTCACCGGTGGGACAAAAAAAGGAGGATATGGCACGGGCTAGGCACCAGGCCCTGCTGGTGATGGTGTTGCCTGAGCACGGCCTGCCAAAACGGCTAGGCTCTGTTGAATGTCCTAAAGGATGGTAGTTTGATGCTCCTGCATCTCTATTACGCCTAGCAGGGCCCTCCTAACTACCCTCACATCATCATCCATATTGCTCAGGTCCATCGTCTCTAACTCCTCTATATCTGCCCCTCTCCGCTGCATCCTGGCTCTTCTTCTGATCATCTTTTCCTTTTCCGCTTTTATCTCTCCTAATGCCCGCTGTAGCTGTGCCTCCTGCAGAGCCGCCTGCTGGATGGCGACATCCTCTGGAGTCAACACCGCGGCCTGGCTTGCCATAACGCCAGTGGACTGACTCACGGTCTGCGCGACCATTGACCCGACGGCACCTGAACTACTGGCTTGGGAAGTCTGCTGCGCAGAAGTGACCATGGCTGTAGTGGCCATGGCTGCTGTAGCACCGGCCTCGCTAACTAAAGTTTTGTTGGCCTCGGCTGCTCTAGCCCTCCTCTGCTGCTGCTGCCTCTCCCTAAGCCGGCGGAACAAAATCCTATCACCCTCCGGTCCAAGGGACACGTGAGCTCTCGGGCCTCTAGCTGATTGCAAGATCCTGCGGTCGTCCTCTCCGGTGTCCTCCTCGTCGCTCATAGGCTACAGCACTGTGCACTGTCTACACTAGATCATTCAAGATGCCTACCGCAACATAGTGCACAGACCAACTAATTAGTTGGTGGCTATTTCAGAACAGATATCACTTGAGGTCAACAGGTAAGTCAGATTCCTACAACTGAAGCTATTTTTAGTCTAACTAGTCCGCAAACAAAAGCACCAGGAACAATACCTAGTTCTAACTAATGTTGTCTGTCAGATGTCAATGGCAGTCCATCTAACTAATCAAAACATAAAAATAGAATCACTTGTGTGGATAGGACATCATGGAATTTTCTCGAGCTTATCACCTGGAATCAACCCCTCCCTTAGTTCCCCTGAGTATCTCTTGACGTCAGCGTCCCTGAGCGATCTGGAGAGCGCAGCGTGTCTAAAGGTGTGTGTGTTCGGCCCACCCCTGTGCCCCGAGTATCCACTGAGCCGGCCAGCCTTGCACGTATATTTATCCTCGGCGTGCCGCGAGCCTTCCAACCATTGGCTGATCCAGGGACAACCCAACGTCCGCCCCCAAGTGACTCCAGGAATTATTTTATGTCGCAGCCAGACGACGATCACAGCCAATGGTTCCCCTTCCTGTGTTTATTTATAGATGCTGGGTGCTCGTCTTTCCTATAGGGCTGGCCTGCCCAGTAGTACCCATCTAACAGCGCAGCAAGCCGAACAAAGGACAAGCAGCTAGGCATGCGTGCTCTACTCCCTGTGGGTTGGCATGGTGACCATGACCCAGTGCTTCGTCCAGGGCCCTTCAGAAAGCTCCGCCCATCTCCACCCAGATGCTCCATGTGAACATTGCCGACTCTCAAGGTTGAGCGCACTCGAC